TTAAGTATGTGTAAACACAGTCGTTAAGCAAGGTCGATTGGAGTAATGAACCCATCGCCTTTACAAACATCTGCATCCACCACTGCCCCTACGAGCAGGCAACCCAAACAACGTGGGCGTCACTAAGTGAGGAATGTACAATGTGGCCTGTGGGATCCAATTAAAAATGATGTAAATGCTGATACTCTGTGATGGTACAGGGCGGGTCACGAATTGACAACGTAAACAAATTTTACTTTATTGCACGATTTAACAGCGCAAAAAGGAAATTACAGAACAAAAACTTTGGCACGGAGCATTTGAATGTCGGTGTGTGTGTAGCCGATCACACTGGGTCCTTCAGCGCTACAAAATTAGGATCGCAGTTGCAAAGCCCGCTCGAGGTACAGAAGAATGTCCGCGTTGTTCTATGTTGTGTTGCCACGTGTGCACAAAGAGCTTGCTGTTTCCTACTAAATGTTCAAGGATTTAGAATTTCTGTATTAACCCTTAAAAATCCTGTTGTACCTATATGAACCACCTGCTTTAACAATAATTAACTCTGCTTTTTGCCCGCTTAGTGTATGTATGAAATTCACACGATTCTCAGAATAAACAGTAATCATTTCCTTAAACATAATTAACCATGTGATATTTGTAATGGCGAAGTGTAGTGTTTTCTTTGAGGTACGGACTGAGTTCTTATATATTATTTACACGATCTTCGGCTTCAAATGGTTAATAGCGATTTTGAAAAATCCAAAAAGGCCTGATCAATAAAACCTGACTAAGACAGGAAATAATTTTAGTGTCATTATACAACTTTCAAAGCCCTGAAAACCATCAAAACGATAGAATTGTGTTGAGCCTAAATTTGTATTCCCATGTTCTAAACATGTCACGTAAATATTTCTAATGAACCAATGTACAAAGTTATCCCAAACAACTGCTGAGATTATGTAAGATGAACGATACTTGTTAAGTTGATTAGTACTCGGAATGGATACGAGACGGGGCCACACTATAAGATATCATAGTATCCTAGCCTGTATCAGGACAGTCGTCCGTATGATGAGATTCGAACCGGGTACGTCTAGAATTCTCAGACTGGATACCGAAATCGAGTTTCTTGAGTGGAAAGGTATTATCACTACGATGAAGAAAGGTTTGTACAGAATAAAGAACTAGGTCCCTAAGAACACCGTCGTTTCTCACAAATACGAATCTCAATTAAAATTAAAAGTGCGCTGGAACTTCGCTGAATTAGTGCTTCGCCAAGTTGAAAGTAATTTATCTAAGCCCTGGTCTTTAGAGGGCTGTATAATATAAGTTTCTAGCAGAGTGTGTGGGTGTTCATGAGCACAGTACGTGATAAAGCATGAATAGGATGAGGAGTTACGTACCTAAAACCTGGGATGAGAAATTGTTTTCATTCGTTCCCCGGATGCGACTACTTCAAAGTGTTCAGAGTCGAAAAATCTTGCAAAGACAAGTTCTTTATTTGCGAAATTGTGAGGCAGCAAATAATCATTGACATAATTAACAGTTACTCCTATTCCATGAGAACTTATAACCTCACTTCATTCATTACTCTCGGCAGAGAACGCCCTTGACAACAAAACACTCAGAAAGTCGAAACAGGTGAAGTATACTTTTGTACCTCAATAGAACGCCTCTGATAACAGATCAAACTGCATCAGCATGTCATCCAATGGTGGTTAATGAATTACCCACACCGATCTTTCCCATTATAATTGGACATTGCATCCCAGAGTGAGATGCAGTGAACGTATGCCGTGATCATGCGGCAACTTCTCCGGCATTACTGTTCAGCGGGTCAGTGTTCATGCAATCAGCAGGCGACTTCTATTATATTCAATGAGATATAGAGTGGAAATTTGTACCAGTGAAAATTATTAACATGGCTCTACAACGTAATTTGAATGTAGTAACATGAAATATTCACTGTCTTGTCTAGAACCTACGCCGGCAGCAACCAAATTAAAATTATAACCACACGTGCTAAAGAATTATGACACGCTCAATCTTTGCATCGTAGCACGTGGCATTTTTGACGTAAATACGTCTATAAGGAAGGGTCATTCGGCCAAAAAGTGGAACGAAAAAGTGTAACCTGGTTACCTAGGGAACGTCGTGTTTACTCGGCATTGTTGTTACCTATAAAACATTTCATTACATTACCTTACCTTACCTTACCTTACCTTACCTTACCTTACCTTACCTTACCTTACCTTACCTTACCTTACCTTACCTTACCTTACCTTACCTTACCTTACCTTACCTTACCTTACCTTACCTTACCTTTCATTTCATTACATTACTTTACATTACATTCAGCTACCATAGACCCATCTTAAGCGTAACTAATTCAAGTTAAATAAGTAAAGTCTTAATCAAACTTTACTCAATTATAAAGCATGTATAAAGGAAATATTTAGAATAAAGCCAATATATAAACTTCCTTTCCGTATAGACGTATTTACGTCAAATACTCCGGAACCGTGGTTCCACTGACAACTTTTTTTTTTATTTGAGTTTTAAATGGCACGTTCTGAATATTCAAGCTGGCTATGAGGCAATTACAAATCATTTGATCATAACACTAAATAGAATATATCGCGCATATATGAAAATGTATATCCCTGCCAAAATGTACTGCAAATTTATTTTTGTTTCACTTCTGACTAAGTTTCAATTTGATTCCTTGACGCGTGAGAGCCATTAATAACCGCTACAGTTGAGTAATCAATTGTCATTTGACATTTATTTGAAACTACAGAATCTGTACATAAAATTAAAAAAAAAAACTGGGCTTGATCACTTTTGCATTATATTCATCAGTAACAGAGATGAGATTATCGATCCCAGACTCCGCCAAACCAATCCTATTCATATCCTGTCACCCTAATCAACTCTCCACAGCACTGTTGGGCACGGTCCACCCACCAAGCTCTGTCCCAACTACTCCCAAGAGAATGTTCAATGTTATATGCGACAGAGGTTTGATAAACAGAATCAACCAACTCTTTGGGGGTGGAGTGAAGCAAAGTTATCATACTTGCAGGACCTGAGAAAAGGAGCCAAAAGTTTCTCATTCAGTAACGAAAGAACCCGATGGATTCCCAGTAAGGTCAAACTTCAACATGTTCGAATGGGGAAAAACGGAAAGATTTTAAAGGAAATCGAGACCAGATTTTACTAAATGGGTGTAACAGACAAGCAGAGCAATCAGAATGTGCTTTGTGTTTCGTTCTACCAGGAGCAACTGATAAAAGTCTGTAGAGTAGAATGTCGGTGCCCGGTCTGTGTTGATTCTTTTTTTTTTATACGTCACTTTTCACTGATTTTTTTTCCCAGTGTGCCCATGACCAGGTTCAATTCCCTGCTTTTATGTCATTGCACAGACGATCGCATTATCTCCTCCCGGTGTCAAGAAATACGATAATACGATCGTCTGTGCAATGACATAAAATCAGGAAACTCATAGCCCTGTTGACTGAGGCAGCGAGGACCTCTGAAACGTTGGTAAAATTATACCAGACTACATGGTGTTGAAACCAAGACGGCAGCCATCTTTGACAATTATTTTTTTATTTAAAGGTGATTTCATAGGCTCAGACTATAACAGACCACATCATTGAATAATAATATTAACGAATAATGAATTGGAAAATATACGCAAGTTTCTGTTGTCTAACTTCGCGTACTATCACAAATATGTCTAAAGAAACAGAGGGAAACGGTCTTCAGGCCAAGCTCTCAAGTGAAATAACGTGTGGTAATCAGTTGGTAGCAACGTTCGGTTTGATGCAATGAATCAACTTTAAAAAAAAGGGGGGGGGGAACATACAGAAATAATAACCTCGAACTGCATAGATGCGTAACTGGAGTCGAGAGATGCGATAACGTAAGCTATGTGACATCAGAACGTCACGTTTGATCCAGTTGGCTACTTGAAGTTACAGTTCCGTTATCACGTCTTGTAAAGGAGACAGGGAAGTCTCAGTCTGATGCTGAGTCAGTGATGACTCCATATTGTATGAACCAAGATAAAATTCAATGAATGAGTAATCAAGGGTGACCAAACGACCACGAATACAGAGGCCAAAATCAGGATAAAATTTGTGCCGTGTAAGTAACCAGGTACAAAAACACAATAGGGCCCTAAAATTTTCCAAACTAGCAACCATTGTTAAATAATACTTAGGGGTAGGATTTGAGGTTTACACGGTGGTGAGTCTGAAGATTTCCGTCTTCTGGGTTGTTGCCCCGTGTAGTCTGGTGGAAGTTTACTGACGTTTCAGAGGTCATACTGCCTCCATCATCAGGGCGACGAGAAGTAAAATAACAACGCGTTGCAAAAGAGAAATATGTAGGGATTATTTACATCTGGGTTTCACTGCAATGACTAAAGGAGTATCAAGAGTTACTCAAGCAAAATTGTGTTACAGACAGAATGACTTACAATGTCATCATACGGATCGACGCATTTGAAGCAAAGTGCGAGAATTACGGTCTTCCTAACCGTTACATAATTTTCTAAATCTCTTATCACCGCCATAATTCCAATCATCGTGTTATCGATATCATTATATTTCTTCCTTTTACTCAGAAAATGAGGGAAGGCAAATGCTTTAGCACAAGATGTTCCATTCTGACTAGATTGAGCAACAATATTTCGATTCCTGGGGCTCGGAGTTTTACTTCGCCCAAAGCACTAATTGTGCAAAATTACTCTTTCAGGTTTCGCCCATCGTCTAAAATTAAAAAAAAATCAACTACTTCCTCTACGTCAGGGTTGTTCCTCCGAAACGTCGGGCTCAACCTACAAGTTTACACGGCGTCACGGCCCAGAAGGCCAACTTCGTCATCGTCCTCAGAATCTCAAATTTCACAGTACAACAGTTTGTTGAAACCACTTCCACAACATTCTATTCAAGCTGTATCAAAGTAGTTCATTATTCAGTAGGCAAAAATCAGGATCAAAGTTTCGTACTTACCACGATCATCTCGGACGGTTCAAGAACAAAACATTCGTTGGGTCGACGGGCACTGCCACCTGTCCGCTTCCCGAAGCTGAAACAAAAGAAACACGCAACACGTTTACTGCCTGTAGAACAGGGAACTGACCACACCAGACCAGAACCTCTCGTTTGTTGCTTACACAACAAATAGGAGTCACTGACGCTAATGCAATTAAGGTTAAATACTGAAATAAACTTCTGGCATCAGAATAAGCCACGGTTTAATTTAAAGATACCTGAAAACAACAAACCTTTTTCCCCCACGTTCTGCCGCCAGTAATGGAACTTCATTCTTGATATCCTGGTAGAGTCTATAATTTTATATTCAATATTCTTCTTGACGCTCAGACACAGCTCAACCAAGCAAAAGCCGAGTTGCGTGTATCGCAAGATCATGACCCCAAACCTATTCGTAAGGGCTGTAACAATTACGAGAACTTTATGTACAAAATTTCCTTCTTCAGAAGCTAATCAATAGTACGCTCTGTCATGGGACCATAAGGTTCATTACCGTGTTCAGAACAGCCCGCCACCGATCCATATCCTAAGCCAGATTAATCCAGTCCACACCCTCACAACTAATTTCTTTAAATGCCATCAACACATCCATATCTTGTTCTTACAAGCGGTGTTCTTTCTTCACACTTTAAGGCAAAATTTTTATATGCAACAGTATAGTAACTGGCTAAAGACTGGACGACCGGAGTTCGATCCCCAACGGGGGAAGAGGATTTTTCCTCTAGCGTCTGCGATCAGACCGGCTCTGGGGCCCACCCAGTCTTCTTTCCAATGGGTACCGTGGGTCCTTTCCCGGGGGGTAAAGCCGGCCGGGGCGTCATGTTGACCACTCACCCCCATCTAGTGCCGAGGTTAAGAATAAGCAGGAGCCATATCTCCTCCCCCACAAGCGCCTAAATGGCGTTTAGTGGGACAGATTTACATTTTCTTTGCTTTTTTAACTCGACTGTGCCGTTCTTTCTAAAGGAGAACTTTTTGTGACAACGGTCCTGAACCTCTCATAGGCTTGTCCACTTGGAACGCGCAGGATTAGATGTTTGTATAATATTAAAAGGCATATAAAACAAACAAAATATGAGAATGTGTGAAGGATATGTGTAGCTCACGGTTAAAGTCGTCACAGGCTTTTGGGAGCATGCAATGAACGTTCCACTAGGGACAAGCACTTTAATAAACAGCTTAACGAATGGTAGGTTTCCAAGAAGGATTCTGCTAAAAGTTAGTAAATCCACGTATTTCAGATGCACTTATGAAGATTAATCACTTGCTTCCTCTACCCTAGACTGCCAACAAGCTCTGTGCTACGCTCCCATGCCTCGGAAACCACAGCAAACATCTGAAGCGCGAATGGATGAACTAAGTGATCGATCGCTGGATAGATGAGTGCAGGGGGGGGGGTGCATTAATTGATCGACTGACAAGTGGATGGATGCGTCCTGTGAATGGTTCGAGTGACGGAAGACGAAATGAAATTCATTGACGAATGCATAAATTGAATCACGGGTGGACGGACTGTGAGTGGTGGAAAATGCAGACGCAAAAGCTCAACTTGCAGTGAGGTTGATCCGTAACGCCTGAAGAAGCGGGCAAATTCTCCGTCAGGCACGTGTGACCGATTGCCTAAACGAAGAGTTGCAGGCGATCTAACCAACAACGTTCTTTAAGAGTTGTGCAGGTTTCGAGATACTATGTACAACCACAGTTATAAAACTACCTTTATTCAGAGTCCAGCCAAGTACGAGCTAGAGGTGAAGCCCCAAACTTATGCTTTATCGAGGCTATCACACACCCCCATGGGACTGTATTAGATGAGAATGGACCAATGGCAGAATGGTTATTAGCAGGGGAGGATCCAACCCCAAACAGGAGAGTGGAAAAATGTAATCTGGATTTTAATAGGATTTATTTGTTCTTCTTTTCCTTTTATCGGTCGTTCGCTAGAACACAGTTATATTTTATTTTCCCGCATACAAGAACGAAAGTCGTAAAGTGATAAATTAATGGGTGGAGAGCAATGTCTTAACTTAATGTGGCTAATGCTCCTTTATTACGAATATGTTTCACATTTATAATCCAGATAAATTAATGTCCTTATTTCTGAAGACAAATTACACTACACTGTATCTAGAAACAGGTGCTTTTTACGGTGCTCTGAATTTGTAAGTCAGAGAACTGAAGAGCACTCCAATGTCTCCACTTTCACGGATATGACGTCTGAGTTGACTTCTTAATTTCTGCACTGTTATTCTGTTCAACCTCTTTGGACCAGAACATGTACAATAGCATGACGTCATTCGCAGAATCCAACCTTTGAATGCACTTGGCATACGAAGGTGGGAGAGAAGACAAGCTTCAGCATATGATGTAGCCAACACGTACAGCTCGTGAGTGGGCGCTATGTAGTCGTATAATCATGACAGTTACAGAATTCACTTCGTAGTTTGAGAGAGGGGATGCACGTATAAGTCAACAATGTAAAACGAGCTGTGTAGAGCGCGGTTCTCCTTGAGAATCTGACAGTCACTCAGCTAATCAAGAAACCTTCATGGAACCGCTTTCGCAAACGCCCACAACAGGGCCCCTGTATTTGGCGAAACTGTAAAAGTTACCAATTATGGCACTTTATCCAGGATCCTGCCAATTCCTCTGCTTAGGTCAACGATGTAGAACAAACACTACGTTGTACCTGTTACTTAAAACGTAAGCGATCTGGAACACAAGCGTACGAGCAAGTGCATCGTCATTTTACAAAGGCGCATAAAATTATAAGCAAGCATTTGTTTGTTTTGGAAACGGCGTGGACCGTGTATCACAGGCGCAGAGGGTGTCTAAGGAGCAGAAAGCTTCTGTTTCCATGACAGCCGGGCGCTTCTTCACGAAATGAGTGAACTAACTATCATGCTTCGACAAATGCGCGAAACCAAACAGTTACTGATATGTTTATAATCGGCAGTGTACCAGATTTAAAAAGATTCCTCCTCGCCCCAGGTTCAAATCTTGACTCGGAGACCGGCTATCCTGACTAAGATTCTTCGTGATTTTCCTCGGTCCCTCCAAGCAAATCCCGAGAGAATGATCTTTCTTCTATTTTTAGCATAAGAGACGAGAACAAACGTACCGGTAGCTAAATGATCTCCACAAGGTTACGTAATCACTGTCTCCTGTTTAGAGGAGAATGTATTTTTTATACACCCGGTCGGACCGGTTGCGAGCTCTCTAATTAGTACAGGTATCCGTGCACAGTTTTACTCCAGTGTCATCCCTGACATGACGGCTTTGTGCTGTCTCAAGAGTCCATGGGGCCGTGGGGGGACTGTGTTACATCAGTAGCCAATACGATATTGTTAGCAGATGGCAGCGCCAGTTCTTGAAATGTTTAATAAACTTCTCTGCTTCTATTTAGAACAATTAGATCGTTAGGTTTTGGCAGGCAGAAAAATTTGGCGTACCGGTAACTAGAAACTGAAACAAATAAGGTAGAGAGATACAAAAGGAATGGGAAGATAGGCAGTAAGAGATTATATTAATGTTGCACTAATGATAACGAAATATTTACTATAAGGTTATAAAATCCTAAACGGGATCCTCTGCCGGGAAGAGTTGTGTGTGAACTGTATCACTGAATAAATAAACAATTCCCGGAACTGTTTCACTTGTGGGCAAAGCGCAACTGCGCAAAAGAAATCTTGAAGGGTTGTCCCCGCACCCAACCCTAGAATAAATTACTTATTTCCCGCGGAAAACAAAGGAAACAGGTTTCAGGAGCTAAGAGTCTGTCAGATACAACGAACTCTCAAAACAGCGTAATCTGAAACTCACAATGGCATTTTCATCAGATTACTGGTTCCATGCCCCCCCCCCTCTCTCTACACTATTTCGTTGTTTGTAAATCAAATAAAAATAATGAAAACGAATTGCGAGAAAAGCTACATGAAACGCGCATTAAAACTTTCAGCCAACAACCTATTCCAGATTAAAGAAAAAAGTTGAACTTGGTTTAAATATAAAACTGTTATCTCCATCCCAGCATATAACCCAAATTGGCAAGACTGGAAACGTGCACTCTTCAGAGAACACAGACATTCAAAAAGTGTTCTTCACGCCACATCACGTCGGTCACTTTTGCACTGACGTCAATGCGAAATAATTGTTGCTATAGGCTTAAATTCAATTTTGGACTTCAGTTACTTTCAAATTATTTGTTACATGCGCATTCAAAACTAAATAACCCCACACCTCATTATGATAATGAAAATTCCCTACTCTGACCGTTAAAAACCCTCAACCCAGTCGCCAAGGCATCAACCCTTCGTGAAAATGCTTTATATTCAGTTCATTGCTCTACTGTTAAATCCACTTCACGTTATACCACGATACTAATGCCATCTGTTAACTAGAATCCAATTATAAAACCAGTCCCGGAACCCCTTATGAAAGACATTAAGTTTAATATTTGGATTATATTCCTGAGAAAGCGAACTATGTATCCTATTTCCCGGGTTCGTAAATGTGATTTCAGTACTGAAATGCCTGTTACTGGCTTGACATTTCCATTCTGACAATTTAATTAGAAAACATTTAAAACCTCTGCAAACAATGGCAGTCCTGAAACTGCAAAAAGTATTGGCTGAATGAAGTGAAAAAGAATTAAAATAACAATGGACAGACAGTGTCTGTCTGTCTGCCCACGTTTTCATCTCGGAAATTACTGTTATATTATTCCGTATTCGTACTGCAAGTTTTGTCTGGGAAATTTCGCAATTCCTACTCTTCAGCAAACATTCACAGGGCAAACAAAAAAGGAGGGGATTTTTGATTGGCGAGGAATATAGCACGCGCGGGAGAGATTATAAGCGAATACAAAATTAAGTTATTCCTGTGAGTACACACTGCGCCTTGATGGCCTGTAGGGGGAGTGAAGTGAAACTCCATGCACATTTTCCCTGTGAAATAAGCTTACGCGTGTGTATAACAGACATAAAAAGGATATTCAAACTCGTTCATAACATTCAGAGGTGGATCGTTCATGTTAAC